CTCCCGCAGCCTGGCAGAGGGGCTGTCAGGGCGGGCAGCAGAGGTGCCATGCCCGGGGCCATTGTCTCTCTCCCCTCCAGCATGCCTGCTGTGTGGACAATCAGAGGCTGACCTGGACATCTGTGGAGAAAAACTCCAGAAAAGTTGGCTCTGTGCCCACGAGTTCTGTCTGGTGAGTTGTTTCACTCGTTCCCTCAGTTTTTTGACAGGCAGTCCCTGCCACTCTCTCCTCATCAGTGCATGTCATTTTCCCTGCAGTTTTTTGCCAGCCACCTTTCTCACCACCCCACTGATCAAGGAAGACTTTGGTCTTTTCCAAGAAGGGATATCCTAGATGTAGCGTGCCAGGCAGCACAGAAGGTGAGAGCCTGACACGAGCAGGAAGAGTTCACTGCCAGGCGAGCTTTGCTGGAGCTTAGCCCAGACCCCAAGCAAGAAAACCCCAGCGCCAGCAGTCGTAGCCTTGCAGTGTTCCCTGAGTCCCACGTTCAGCTTCAGACAGGAGCTGGAAATGGCAGAGGGGGAAGAGCAGGGACACCCTGCACCTGCCTGATGCTGGGGCAGAGGAAGCTCATCAGGTTTCCTTTTTCCATCAGACCATCATCATGGGAGGGCATTAATTCATTTGCTGAGCTGGAGAGAGGCACAGGCACTGTGATGCCAGCAAGTGCCTTTTTCCAGGAGGCAGAGAGAAGGCCGAGGAGGAGGGGTAAGTTGCCAAAGCTGCATCCTGGGTCTCTGCAGGGCTCAAGGCTGGAGGATCCAAGAGAAGAGCTCAGGCAGATAATCCCACGCTCTGGACACTTTGTCCTCAGCTCCATGAACCCGTTTGCTTCCCCAGGCCCTGGGAACTGCTCCTGTGCTCCTCCTGTGCTGCCGAGGGCACCCTCTGACTTGAGGGACAGTACAGCCAACTGGGAATGTGAGAACTGTGCTGCCTTGGGCACAGGTAAGAGGCAAAGCATTCTGGTGACCCTGGGCCTGGCAGGGGGTGCCCAGGCTGGGCTTGGCAGAGCCTGTCTGCTCCAGGAGGGCTGGGGGCACTGCCCTGGCCTATCCTGCCTAGGGCTTTGGGTGGCTTTAACCTGGCCTTGACCTTCCTG